GTTGGGACGACCAGCAAGCTCGCACCACGGCATCCGCAAGTCCAAAGAAGCGAAAAGCAGACGGAGGGTCAGCTATCAGCATCAGTGATGATGTGCTTACACAAGCATTCGAAAAGTTTGTGGCGAACGGCCGCCTGCGTGGGTTCGCAGAGCCGACGCTTGCTGCCGGCTCGCTGGGACAAATGCAATTCCTCCGAGGCGAGATAAGGTTAGAGATGAGCAAGATAAAGATGCAGATCACTCAGCTCTTGAACACTGCGATGGCACAAGCCGAGGCGGATCGGCGGGCAGAAGACGTGCTTCAAAGGATCATGGAGATGCTCGAGAAGGGGCCGAAGCAGAACAATGAGAGGACGGTGCCATCTGCCAGGACTGACGCTCGGCCAGAACATGCGACGCAAGGTATAGGCGACCAAGTATTAACACCAGGGCAAGCAGCACAGCCAAGCTGGGCGAGCATCACGGGGGCAAGCAAAGGAAGCGGCTGGACCACAGTCGCAAACGGTAAGAGAAAACCGAAGAAGCACCCGCTCGACCAAAGGCGCATCCTCTTCGCGAGAAATGTGCAGTCGCACAGTTGCGACCCCAGAGACATCATGTTCGAAGCGAATAAGGCTTTAGCAAACGCAAGAGCCCATGTGACTGTGAGATTGATCAAAATGAGATACACAGAAAAAGGCAACTTGACGGGTGTGGTGAGTCAACACGCATGTGCCGACGAGCTGCTTAACTACGCCACGGTCTTGATGGCTGCGGTCAAGAAGCTGGACCCTGAAGTCGTCCTGGTGGAAAAGACTGAGAAGTGGCGCAAACTGCGTGTGCACGGCGTCGCACTGGACCGCTACACGGCCGAAGGTGGTTTGAAGCTTGCGCGGGAAGAAATCGAACTAATGACGGGCGAACAGTTGCCGTATCCGCCGCGCTGGCTCAAGGGGGACTCCCTGGGAGTGAGCGGTATGACAGCGGGAGCATCAAGCGGTCGACGCTGGTCTTGACCGTCAAAAGCAAGCAGGCTGCGGACGTTATCTTAGCCAGGGGCCTTTCTTTTGGCGGCAGGCGCCATGAAGTAGAGAGATTCTGGGAAAGGGGAGAAGGTCGAATGTGCACGCGCTGCTGTGGCCGCGACCACTTAGGCAAGTGCACAGAGGAGGCCAGATGCTTTGTCTGTGCGGGTGAACACGCAGGAAGTGAGCACCACTGCTCCGCTGAAGGCTGTGGCAGGAGGTCAGAGCCGTGCGAACATCACATGGCGAAGTGCGCGAACTGCGACGGGTCGCACACGTCACGAAAATGCCCAGAGAGGAAGTCACACCGGCAGACACGTGCGCCAAAGCCAACGGAGATACGTAGCAGCCCACCCGTAATGGAGACGGAGCAAGAGCAGGACGAGCTCACAGTACAGGAAGATGAAGCAGAAATGGAGGTGGAAACAACACCGATTGACCAAGGCCAAACTGGCACGGTACAAGTGACGACGATATCGTCGGATGCCAGCAAAGATCAGCCACCGTCCCAGGGTCAAGGATTGCCCCGTCCAACAAGAGAACTCCGGTCGATGACTAAGTCATTTCTGGGAGCAACGCAGAATCTCCCTAGCCCCGACGACGAGACTTCCATGCTCATCGATGATGATAGTGCTTCAACATAACTGCAACCGCACAGCTGTGTCGACGACAGCAGCACTTGAGGCTGCCCTGGAGCGAGGAGTCGAAGTGGCGTGCTTGCAAGAGCCGCACGTGGGAAAGAGGCACACGATCTGTCACCCTGGGTTTCAGCTCAGATACCCGGAGTGTGCAAAGCAAGACGCGAGAGTGGCGTTGGCGATCCGCAACGACGCGCTTGATCGGTATGTGTTTGAAGAGAGGACAGACCTGGTAAATAGCCCGCACGTGCAGTGTCTTGACATCTGGGAGACAACGAACCGCAGAAAGACGCGCCGAACGAGACTGATCAACATCTACAACAAAGCCAGGGTCGAAGGAGGGGGCTACACGATCGACCATCTCGACTGGCGACCGCTCATCGAAGGCAGGACCATACTCGCAGGAGACTTCAACGCTCGTAGCCCCAAATGGGACCGTTGGATCGTGGGAAGACAAAATGCTGGGACGACGGAACGGTTGATCGAGAGGCACGACCTCATTGTCAACAATAACGACCACCAAGCCACCAGACGCGGGAAAAACTGTAAATCAGTCATCGATCTGACTCTGAGTTCTCGCAAAGTGGGTGCGCTCACCACGTGGGAGATTGACGAAGAACTAGCGACAACATCCGACCATGAAGTGATCGTCTTCGAGTGGACGCCGCTCAATGCGGCCGCTACGGACGGGCCAAGGGGCGCTCCACCGAATTGGAGCATCGATCGTCTGTGCGCGGATGGAGAGGCGTTGAAAAAGGCAGGCGAGCACTGGCACGAGCTGAGTGAAGGAAGGTTGCTGGTCAATGCCTGGGTGGCAACACCGGCAGAACTCGAGGCAGAAGCGTGCTGGATGCAAGAAAGTCTCAAGACAGTGCTGGACCGACATGCACCCGGGAGGCCGCCGTGCGCACGCTCGAAGCGGTGGTGGACAGACGAGATCAAATAGGAAAGACGGCTGTTTGGAGGTGCAAGGCGTGCCTACAACGATGATCGAATTAGCTTTGACGAGTACCGTCAAGTGAGGAACA